AGAAGAAAGAAAAACTCCCCTAATTGGCAATTTATACCTAACTAGATAGAAAGAAAATGTACAAGATATTCACATTGAGGGAGGAAAACTGAAGAGCATTTCCTAAACAAATTATTGCCGGATCCTAGCTACTAATCAAATGAGGAAGAAATAAAGTGGAAGAAGAGCTTTTTAATCCTATATATTAGAGTTAATAACCATACTCATGAACTCATGACTTGAGCAACATTTCTGCAATTGTAAGACATGCAACTTGTTGCTTCAGCTTTCCATTGATGCTCGATGTCTTCTGCTATCTTCTTCGCATCAATAGAAGCACCCAGCAAACCCCGTTTTGTAAATCCAACAGCATATAGCCCAGATTCACCTTTCCATCCATTCGGAAATGGTTTCCGAGGAAAACCATCCTTCTCAGAAAACATACAAGTCTCCTGTGTGGCACAAAAATTAACTACTTGCACCCAAAACCCATGTTTCTTGGGTGTTAAGGAATATGATCAAGATGACTTGATGAAGAAAGAAGAAATAACAATTATATGTACCTTTAACCATTGCGGAACATTGCTTTTATAACCTGTGGCTAGGATGATGGCGTCAAACTTCTCCATTACCCCGTTGACAAACTCCGCAGCACAGTACGTTAGTCGCTTTATACCGGGGCAAACCTACACATTAACAAGCTGAATTAACTATATAACTCTTCAAAGTAATATTGCTTCCAAAATATACTCAGATTCAGCGTCTGATTTGCTGATTTGTATGTTGTTCAAACCTTTATAATCCCGGTTTTGATCTTTGCAAGCGTTCCAACATCCAAGACCGGAGTCTTGCCCGTTAGATTCTTCAGCTCGAGAGGACCAACCTTGGGCCGGTGGATCCCTAACTTTGCGGTGTCGCCAAGGATCCAGTTGGAAAGGAGAAGCAAGAATTTATCCACAAGGCGTATGGGGAACCACTTGAGCAGCCACATGGCCAATCCAAAAGTCGATCTCCCCAGCATCTTTTGCGGCAAGACGTGCATCTGCAACATTACCAAAAGCTAGCTCAAAAGTCTTTTTTTTTTAAAAAGGAACCTTTCTTCTTCTAGGGCATGTTTTCATCGAATCTGCAAAACTGCCCTTCTGCTTTTCTTATAGAAAAATTTAATTACTCAGAGGAAAAAATATAGAATTTACGGGCAATGAGCAATGTTGCGCGTGGAATCAGAAACCAAGAAAAGGGAAGAACTCTGACTCTCTTAGAAACTGTTACAAATCTTTAATGGCATGACCTCGGGTTTATAAAAGACAAAAAAGAAGAAGAAGTGAAAGTCAATAAACAAGACAAATTTTTTGGTTAAAAATGAGAAGTTATTCTGGGGAGAGAGAGTAAGGGAAGAAGCTCAATTTAAGTACTCATGAACCCTTCGGTTGAAGGGTGTGTGACCTACTTTGACCTAGAAAATCTGAATAAACGAAATTTTGCTGTTAGGTTTTCGGGATATGGAGATATTAATTTAAGGAGGCTCACTGAGTCTCTGACAACTAGGGAGGGGCGAGCATTGTAGTTGCAGAGATCCAAGCAGACCTCCATGCCTGAATTCCCACATCCGACGACAAGTACTGTCTTTCCGCAAAACATCTCGCCGGTTTTGTATGAGCTGGTGTGAACTATAGGCCCGCCAAAATCACTCATTCCTTCAATCTGTGGGTATACTTCCTCTGCATTCTCGCCGGTTGCCACAATCAGCCATCGACAAACATACTCCGTTTCCTCCTGTTTGGGTCCCTTCGCCTTGATCCCCCAAAAGCCGCAACCTGAATCGAATTCTGCACTCACCACCGTTCTGTTGAAAACGGGTTCTAATCCAAAATGGTGTCTATATACCTTCAAGTAGGCCAGAAACTGTTGTTTGGTTGGATAAGTCGGGAAATGATCAGGAAATGGCATGAGAGGCAGCTGGCAAAACTGCTTCGGAAGGTGGAGGCGGAGACGGTCGTAGGTCTTGCGCTGCCACAAGGAAGCGATACAGTTTTCCCTTTCCAGGATCAAGCTGGGGACGCCTCTCTCTTTAAGACAAGCAGCCACAGCAAGGCCCGAAGGACCAGCACCAACTATTACAGGGCCCGGAACACATATACGTCTAGGCGATCTAGTTGTTCTCCTGCTGAAGTGATCATGGATTCTTTTCCCTTCAAGTTCCCTAGAGTAATCCATTGATGAACAGAAACAGAAATCAAATTAACGAGAAAGTGAGCAGGGCATTCTACTTTTTCAAGGATAACCCATGTATGGAGATCCCTTTTGTAGGCAAAATGCACCACATGGATGAGTTTGTTAGTTATGAGTAGAGAAGAAATGGTAAAAATGGATTAAGCAGCTGAGATTTGGGACACAGTTTCAGCAGAGATTTTTGGAGGGATTTGGATTTAATTTTTGGATTTGGATTAGGAAGAGTTTTATGCACCCTTATCCACTTTGTAAAACAAAATTTCGAGTTAATTTGGTGGATTGATATTTGTAAGATTGCAGCAGAGATTATGGATCAAAGAACAACTGTTAAGCAAAAGAAACGGAAGAATTATAGGATCATATGGCTCACAATGGAATTGGAACAGGGCACCATATATGTGTGTGTATATATACATATATATACATGGAGATCAGGGTACAGATGTAATTAAAGAGAAATCTCTCCCTAATATGTAAATGACTAACGGGGAACCCAATAACAACCAAAAAGGAGATAGAGGTGTACCGGAGACCAGTTACGCTAAGAGCGTAGAGTAAGTACTCAAATAAGTGAAAACATCCTCTTGAACCCCGCAAAATTAGAGTATTGAGTCTATGATCTCCACGTATTTAATCCACTTCATATTTTTTCGGATGTAAGATTCTTTCTCTTGCTACTACACCACAACTCAACTTGAAGCAACGCACTCAACAAGAAGGTGGTTGCTAGTTAGAGCACAAAAGACAGGAAGCTAACCTAGAATCCTATTGATGACATAGACAACTCACTCAACATAGATATTGCCTTGCTGGTGGGAGGATATATGGGGGGATTGAAATTCAGTTTTGTGTTTTGGTTGGTCCCACAAAGAGAGAATCTCTCCTAACCATCTTATTCAAGGGCTCTCCTCTGTTTATGGAAGATTCATCATGCTCTTTGCGACTCAAGGGGGGTGGGATGGCTAGTGATGGGAAAGGAATGAATGGAGTGTGAATGTGTGTGTGTGTGTGTAGTTAAGAAAAAATGGTATTTTCCTCCTTTGATTAGCTCAGAAGATCAATCAAATTAACTTTTGTTGTGAGATAATTGGTTTAAGATATCATCAAACTTACAACAGAGCAATGTGTGGAGGTATCGATGGAAAAGAAGTTTCAATATCAAGCCAAAAAGGACAGCTTCACTAGGCCCTCTCTTCCGTACAAGATAAGAAATTCACAAGACATAACCAAGTGACTGCCCAGATTCTCGACCCTCAGAACAAGTTTGCAGGAGAATAGTGGCATGGGTAATGGAAATTAAAGTACACAGTTTCAGGTCCTTATTTCCTCATCGAGTAGTAAGTTTTCCACTTGCTTTCCTTCGGAGTCTCGAAAGAAGCAGCCCCTTCCCGGTACTTATCCACCGCTATACAGTATTTGCTCCGCAATTTTGGAGAATCTGTTTCTTATGAAATCTTTCTTCATAATGTCATCCCAACAGTATTTTCCTT